AGCGGAAAATGAGGTGTTGTTCTTTCAACTTGCACTGAGCTTCACTGGAACACTGCAGCAAGCCAGAGACAGAGATGTTGGCCAGGGAGCAGGGTGGTGCATTGAAATGGCAGGCAACAGGTAGTTCAGGGTCTTTTTTGTGAGCAGAACGTAGATGTTCTGCGAAGCGGTCACCAAGTCTACGCTTCGTTTCCCCAGTGTAGAGGAGACCACATTGTGAGCAGCGAATGCAGTAGACTAGATTCTTGGAAGTGCAGGTGAAGTGTTGCTTCACCTGGAAGGTAGGTTTGGGCCCTTGAATCCTGGGGAGGGAGGAGGTAAATGGGCAGGTGTTGCACCTTCGCCGGTTACAGGGGAAGGTGCCGTAGGGCTGTGGGGAGGTGTTGAGGGTAAAGGAAGTGTGGACCAGGGTGTCCCGGACGGAACGGTCCCTGCGGAAGGCGGACAAGGTAGGGGAGGGGAATATGTGTCTGGTGGTGGCATCTTGCTGGAGGTGGCGGAAATGGCGTCTGATGATCTTCTGGATGTGGATGCTGGTGGGATGGTAGGTGAGGATAAAGGGAACCCGATCGCTGTTGCGAGTGGGAAGAGAAGGGGTGAGGGCAGAAGTGCGGGAGATGGGTCGGACCCGATTGAGGGCGCTGTCGACAACAGAGCTGGGGAAACCTCGGCTGAGGAAGAATGTGGACATTTTGGAGGCTCCCTTGTCGAAGTTGGCCTCATCTGAACATATGCGACGGAGACGGAGGTACTGAGAGAATGGGATGGAGTCTTTATAGGAAGTGGGGTGTGAAGTTGTATAGTCCAGGTAGATGTGGGAGTCATTGGGTTTGTAATGGATATTAGTGGCCAGTCTATCCCCAGAAATGGAAACAGAAATGTCAAGGAAGGGAAGGGAGGAGTCAGAGATAAACCAGGTGAAAGTGAGGGCAGGGTGGAAATTGGAGGCGAAATTGATGAAGTTTTCCAATTCTAGACGAGAGAGGGAAGCAGCACCGATGATATCATCGATGTATCGGAGAAAGAATTGTGGGTGGGGGCCGGAATAGGACTGGAACAAGGAATGTTCCACGTACCCCACAAAGAGACCGGCATAACCAGGGCCCATGCAGGTACCCATGGCAACCCTGCTAACCTGAAGAAAATTAGAGGAGTTGAAAGAGAAGTTGTTGAGGGTGAGGACAAGCTCGGCCCAGCGGAGGAGGGTGGTGGTGGGTGGGGATGGTTCAGATCTTTGCTCCAGGAAGAAGCGGAGAGCCCTAAGACCCTCCTGGTGGGGAATGGATGTGTAAAGGGATTGCACATCCATGGTAAAGAGTAGGCAGCTGGAACTAGTAAACTGGAAGCTTTGAAACCGGCGTAAGACATCAGATGAATCATGGATGCATGTGGGTAGGGATTGGACCAGGGAGGAGAAGACTGAGACAAGGTAGGAAGAGATGAGTTCTGAGGGGCACGAGCAGGCTGAAACAATGGGTCTACCTGGACAGTCCTGTTTGTGGATTTTTAGCAGGAGGTAGAAACGAGCTGTGCGGGGTTAGGGGACTATTAGCTTGGAAGCGGATGGAGGGAGATCACCGGATAAAATGAGATCTGTAACTGTAGTGGATACAATGGCCTGATGTGCCATGGTGGGGTCATGGTCCAGGGGAAGGTAGGAGGAGGTATCTGAGAGCTGGCGCTCAGCCTCTGCAAGGTTGAGGTCAGTACGCCAGACTATAACAGCACCACCCTTATCGGCAGGCTTGATGACAAAGTCAGGGTTAGATCTGAGGGCACGGAGTGCAGTCAGTTCGGAGGGAGATAGGTTGGATTTGTTGAGAGGGGCAGTGAAATTGAGGCGACTAATGTCATGTCGACTGTTCTCAATGAAAAAATCGAGTGCAAGTAAAAGGTCGGAGGGAGGGGTCCAGGTGGAGGGAGAGTGTTGCAGTTGGGCAAAGGGGTCTGTGGGACGGGGAGAGGACTCTTGTCCAAAGAAGTGAGCACAGAGGCGAAGACGGCGGAAGAACAGTTCGGCGTCATGTCGTGCGTGAAATTCGTTAAGGTGGGGATGCAGAGGGATAAAGCTGAGGCCTTTGCTGAGTACAGAGCATTCAGCTTTGGAGAGCGGAAGGTTAGGAGGGATGGTGAATACCTGACAGGAGGTGGGGGGGGGGGGTGGGGGTTGGGGAGGGGATAGAGTCAGAGGGAAGGGGAGGAGAGGTAGGTTCCAGAGGGCCGTGGGTATTTTTGAGTTGTTGCCATGTGTGACAAGATTTTCTCTGTACTTGCATACTTTTGTACTTGAGTGCACGTGACAATAAAACCTAATTCTAATTCTAATTCTAAACATTCTCTGCAACTCTCAGGACAGGAAATAGCAGAACACCTAGGCTAACTAACACATCTTGATTGTCATGCTGACATCCAGAGTGGCAGAGTTCCAGGAGAATTGTCACTTTGTTTTATCTGAAGGAAACTTTTGCCAGTAATCATCATGTATACTCAAGTAATGGTCAGTCACATGTGAAAACCAACCTCCAACATTTAGCCAAAGATCGTTTACTTGTCAAATACCTCATGGAGCATTTGACCCCCAAATTTTAACCAAAAAATCCAAACTCTTTGCATTTAACACCCACTTGCTGTTGGACTTAAACTCAACCTGGTGCAGACCTCCTTGATAGAATCACTACTGAAGGCAGCTATTCAGCTCAGTGAACATCAACATGTGATGACATTGCTACCCCTTCACTGTGTTCCCTTCAATCCTATCTCTCTACAGTGGCAAGATGGTATCAAGTAGGAACGGTACATTAACAGTACAGATCAACCTTAAAGTCATTGTGATTGCAAAACAGGCAAATAATTGTGCAGCAGCTGGGGAATTCCAGACATTGGAAGGCGTCTTTATGGGTTGGAGCGGGTTCTGCATGCAACGTAGACAAATGCCTAAAAATAAATGGGCAAAAGAGGAAAGTCAGGCTTGTGGCTGCAGTTGAAAAATGCATCTGTGAAAATCGCTAGAATGGACTCAGTTTCTCAAGGATCTATCTGATTTCATAGATGACAGACCACTTTGCAGCAGTCTGTAATCAAACATCCACCAAAGAATGGATACAGGTAAGCCAATATTCTTAGAAGCATAGGTGAGACTCCTACGAAGGTTGACATGCAAAACTGTCGTAAGCTTTGTTTTCGTATGGTCTGATCACCTTGCTTACTTAGTGGGACTTATACTAATAATGAGACATGGTTTACCATGAGACATAGTTTATTATTGTCAAAACACAAGATAGACGCATATACACCTTTACAAAACCAGTCTTTCCCTCTAATATCCCAAGTAACTTTACAGTTCTGAAATGTCTGTGACTGCACATTAGTTTAAAATCTGCTTTGTGAGTGCAAGATGTTTGATAGTCTGTGCTACCCCGATTACAGCCAGTTGAACTGGAGTTGAGCCTGATCTTCCTGCTCCCAAGGTTCCTGCTTCGTGGTCCTGATGTTCTCTGGCATGTATGTGAGAGACCCCTCTGATTTGAGTGGCTTCTTTTAACTAGTTATCTGGTCATTGCCGAGTACAGTAGCTTAGCAGTTGTTTAATGTAACAATGTAATTAGTATAATTTAAATTGAGTCTCCATTGAAGGAAGGGATGTTAGCAAAGACAGTATTAGACATTGTAATTCCCCCTACTGATTGAGTCGACCCTAGGAGCCAAGCTGTCTCAAAAACAGTTCCACTGAAACTCAGATCTAATGTTCCATTTTAAACCTTCCAACATTGTCTCATCAGCAAACCATTCAGTAACCAGTCAAGGTGGATGGCTTGATTCAGTTTGACAGTGAATGCTGCAAGCTTCCTAGCTTAATATTTCAGTTCCACTGCCTCATTAACACCTATTCAATATAACCAATCAAGGTATATCAGTTTGCATGCCTATCTGTCTGGTCTGATCCACTTCCCAGCATGCTGTTCAGTTAGCCAGTTTTCCCAGCATGCCATTCAGTTGGCCAGTATTGCTCTCAGTTTCCCAAAAGAACAGTTATTTTGTTTGAAAGGGACATTCCACTACCTACACAGTCAAACAGTAAGCAAAGTTGGAGAGAAAGCAGGGTTGGTGAAGACAACTGGACAATTTACAATTTTTTGCTGTGTTGGTCGAATGGGACAGAAATTAAACCAACAGTGATATCCAAGAGATGAGTCCTCCCGAAATAACAGTTCCCAAAATGAGTAATCATCCACATTGCAATAAAGGATGGATGGGAATCTGGGGCAGAGTCTTCTGGAATGCGCCATTTCCCGCCCTGCCACCTAAAAGCTCAGTGGGGAGTGTATCCCTGCCTGTTGCTGCTGCCCTGGAGCCATAAGGACTCTGAGGAATGTTAATTGACTGGAGGCAAAACATTCGCCCCTCACTCGAGCAAAGTACTACCTCAGAAAACTCATGTCCAATCAGATTGGCAGAAATGCTAGAGTCCAGCCGCACCACCTATACAGTGGACAGTGCTGGTACTGCAGGATGTCCCACTCTACAGTTCACCTCCGGCTCACCCTTAGCAAATTTTGAGAGAACTACAGGTATTGAAGGAAATAGTAAGGGAAAAATTCAATCCAAATTTCAAGCAAAATTTCAAAGCTGCTCAAACATTGCTTTAGTCTAAGTCATTAACACTTCAGATCACAACCATTTAAACTGCTCCCTGGGAGTAAAATTCTGCTCCTAACCTCCAGATGATAATATTTTGGTGCCAACATTATCAATATGATGTGAACTGCATTTGATGCTTTATACAAACAAAATAATTAGGATCTTGTGTTTATGGTGTAGAGCATGGCTCCAGCTTCCCTTGATTATTCTAACAATTTTTGACTCCTGTCCACTTTACAAAGAAGTAGTTGTGTGTTAACTGCTTGGAAAGGTTTTAGCATCTTTCTTGTGACTGAAACAACAGGGTCTTTGTATCATTGCAGCCTGGAGCACAGGCATTGCTTCTCCATCCTACTTACCATAGAGGGTTTAGGTTTAGTTAATCAGACTGAGGTTGCAGGCTGAATTGTCTGCTTTGTTAGGGTATGTGCTGACGTATTACAGAGAACAATTCGAACCTGGTGGTTCCAGAGATGTCCTGGAGGGGGTTAAGCTGTGCAATGGGACGGCATGCTGAGGCAGGAATGGACATGCTTTAAAACTCACTAATACTTTGCATGTGACAAAATGCGTTTAATTTCCAACCAAATCAGATGTCTAACTACCATTTTTGACTGTTTTTCCTTCCATTTGGAAGTGGAAACCTGTGTGTTTTTGCATCAAGATTTTTTGTTTGTATTTTCTGTGCCTGATCAGGGAGCTGATTGATACAACGCCAGGCACTGGAGTACTTTTTAGATTGGAACCATGATTTGGGAGATACAGCATCGTCCTATATCGTTATTCACCATACAGCAACCTAATAGTTCCATTTTTCTCTGTTTAATATGCTGGACTGTGGGTTCCTCAATTAAAGTGAATTTGAGGAAGGTGGTGATGTGTCATTAACTCCACTGTATATTAGGTGAGGCTCCCTGAACTCATTCCAATTAAAAGTCTTCTGTATTTATGCACTTGCTGTCTCAGCAACATGGGAGCTAGGAATCTAGAAGCAAAAGGACTATGCTTTCAGACATTTTATCTTCTAGCTCTCTTTTTCTTTTCTCTTCTCATGCCTTAGTGATGCAGGAGGCAGACAAAGCAGGGGCTTACGCCTGTTTTCATAGCTAGCTTTTCTTGGAACAAGCCACTAGCCTGCCACCGGAAGCAGTAGCTCAAGGGGAACCACACTGCATCAAGCATGACTAACCAGGAGAGAGATAGTAGGAACTGCAGATGCTGGAGAATCCGAGACAACAAGGTGCAGGGCTGGATGAACACAGCAGGCCAAGCAGCATCATAGGAGCAGAGAGGCTGATGTTTCGGGCCTAGACCCTTCATCAGAAAAGCCACTAACCACACTAACCAGGAGACTCGTGTTTACTACTCAACTTAGGTGTGACAGAAGGATTTACAGATTGACAGTCAACTGTTTGGTTGGGTTACCAATGCAAGTTATTTGCCCTTAAATTGCTGGAGTGGAACTCGAGATCAGAGCCTCAGGCTGAGAAGCAGAAATGCTAACCCCTGCGCCATAAGACTTCCACCCAGTGTACTTATTTCAACAAATATATTTAGTAATAACGCTTTGAAGTATATCTCTTGTAGCTTTTACCTTCAATTATTTCAGTAAAAAAAAGTCCACACCAAATGGCTAGAAACACTCAGCAGGCCAGGCAGCACTGTGTTGGAGAGAGTTAACATTTCAGGCCATTGACTTTTCATCAGACCTACTGAGCATTTCCAGCATTCTTTGTTTTTATTTCAGATTTCCAACATCCACACAGTATTTCACTCCTGTTTGCAATGGTTAGTATTATCTTAGCAGCAAACATTGCAGTTTTTCTATGCTGGCAAAACCCAACAGCATCAATATAAATACCCAGTTAATTGGTTTTATTTTACAAAAAGAATATATCAACCTGTTTTACATGCCATTTTGTTAAATCTTGAATACGTATTGTTTAAAATCTGTACACACTTTATCAAAAAAATAAATGTGAAAAAGATGCTGTTGTAAAGCAGCAAGTGGGAAGAGGCAATTTGTCCACAATATACAAATGACCAAATATTTGATTTGTGTTGTTTTTCGATCAATAAATAATGATCAGGAGAACAGGTTGAAACCCTTGCTCTGCTCTTCTTGGAAACAGGGGCCTATTAAATTCCAACAAAACTGCCTCAAAAGATTTTTTGACATTTCATTTCCTCTGTGCAGCATTGAAGTCTCAACCTACTGTGTAAGAGTGTGAGAATTTAAGGAATAAGGACAGGAATGGACCAAATAGCCTCACAATTCTGCTGCACCATCATTAAGATCATGGCTGTTCTTCTACCGGACTTCCTCACCCAATCTCTGTAAGCTTGGATACCCTTATCTGCTCAAGTACTTCGAATAGGCTTTGAACACACAATCCATAACTCATAGTTATGAACATTGCCAACAGCTGGGCCACAATTCTGTAGTACTGTGTGCAGTTCTGGTCACTCTGTTTAGGAAGGATATTATTAAACGGGAGAGGGTTCAGAAAATATTTGCCAGGATGCTGTTGGGAATGGGTGGTTTGAGTTATAAAAATAGGCTGGGATTTTTTTCAATGGAGCGCTGGAGGTTGAGGAGTGACCTTATAGAAGTTTGTAAAATCATAAGGGGCATAGATAAGGTGAATAGCGATGGTCTTTTCCCTAGGCTGGGGGAGTTCAAAACTAGGGGACATATTTTTAAGGCGAGAGGAGAAAGATTAAAAAAAAACACGAGAGGCAGCTTTTTTTACACAGAAAGTGGTTCGTCTGTGGAATGAACTGCCAGAGGGAGTGGTGGATACAGTTGTTACAACGTTTAAAAGACATTTGGATAAGTACATGAATAGGAAAGACTTGGAAGGATATGGGCCAAGCACAGGCAAGTGGGGTTAGTTTGGTTTGAGAACATAGTTGGTGTGCACTAGCTGGACCGAAAGGTCTGTTTCCGTGCTGTATGACTCTATGATTCTAATTGATACTACTAATGTGATCTGCACAAACAATATGACCAGCTGCCTGAAGAAGCAGGCAATGTAGTTAATCTGTACATTATTTTGCAGGCATGTTTGTATGATACTGTGGGGGTAACCCTGTTGTTTCTTTACATTGTACAGTAGCCCATTACTGTGTGACACTGAAGTACCATGAACACTTAATATAACTTGTATATTTGCCACTCAATAAGGATATCACACTAAATTTCTTCAGAGTCGCCCTTTTGTCTAGTTCGCAATCTCAGCCTCATTAATAAGAAGACTGTGTTTATTCCTTTCCAATTTATCAGAACATTGTTTGTTTTTGACTCATGCATTCAGTGTCTGGAACTGCCCTAATGAGGTCACCTGGAGTGTGTCCGCAATTTGTTTTGGGACAGTTCAATCACATGTTTCTCAAATGTGCTCCATCTGGTTCAGGCAGCTTGAACGAGAGTGATGTGTATTCAATGTTATGCAGTCACCAGGCTACAAAGAGGTTGGAAACACAATCCCTAGCTGAACATACCAAAAAACCTCTGTCAGATTGGGTTCCAAACTGGTATGGAGAGCACACTGCAAAATGGATATCATGATTGTACACTGATACTTTATGAAAAGCTGGACATATGTTAAAGAATTAAGAATCAGGAACTAATGCAGCTTCAAAGAACAAGAACTTTAATTTTCCTCCCAATCTTTCTGTTCTTCAGCAATATGTCTCTTTATAAAAGGAATCTGATCTTAGCTTTGAAGCAGTTAATTGGGGACGATACAGAGATGAGCAATGCAAGGGAATGAAGTTATGAGTGGTGAAGGCAGTTTGGCACAGTGTACTCTCCCAGAAATGATCCTGTGAAATTCTGTACTCATCCTACGTAGCACCATTTGCTGCCTTATTCTTGAGCAATAGTTGACGCATAGTAGGTGAAAGACAACTTTGGCAGAAGAACAGAATGGGCCCTTGCAGTTTGTTATATATCTGTGCCAAGCGTTCTTCCTATTAACCTGTGAAAGACACTCACGTGAAGTACACAACAGTTGATCAGTCTTCCATTTATGCCTTCGCAAAAGTTAATTTTCACCCTCTTAAAGTCTCAGAAGCAGTGAAATTGATGGTTTCTGAAATAGTTCTGGTAAAAGTACCCAACCTGTGACAGACAGTTGAAATGTTTGCTCGCAGATATGGTCAGAGTTATTGGCTGCTTTGACGTTATTTTATATCTATTGAATTCCAACTTTCATCGCCCACATTGCTTTGATAATATTGTTAATAAAAGATTAAAGACAAAAGAGTTTTTTTAAAAATAAATGAAGAGATAAAAATATAGGGAGCTCAGTTACATTTATCCAGTGAGAACTGAAGCCATCAGCCCCTTCGTCAGGTGAAGTGAGAGAGGGGCCACACAGACACAGAATTTATAGGCAGAGAGATCAAGGGCAGAGAGATCAAAAGATCATAAAAATGGTGTGAGTGGAGTGTCAAATAATAAGTCTCTGCAGGTGATCAAAAGAGTCAGACGGTGTGAGTAAAGTGTCAACAGCTGAATAACAAGTGAAGGAATGACCTATAGTCTGATTAAATGAGGCAGAGAGATAATTACAACAAATTAAAAATAAGGTGGTGCTGGAGATAAACCAAATGACTGGAATAACGTGTTAAGTATAAGTCACATGCTAAGCGTCTAACCAAAGTAATAAGTAATTCAAAACTGTAGAAACTAATTAAGGAAAAGAGATCATAACAATTTATCGAGGTGATTCTGTCAAAACAGAACAGTAAGGAAGATTTTACAGATACAGAACAGTGTGGTAAGGTCACATGCACTCAAGTTTATGGTTGAGGCCACCTTAATGGGTATGGAACTTGGCTATCAGTTTCTGCTCAGCGATTCTGTGTTGTTGTGTATCTCAAAGGCCCTTTGGAGGACGCTTATCCAAAGCTCAGAAGCTGAATGTCCTTGACCGATGAAGTGTTCCCTGACTGGGAGGGAACATTCCTGTCTGGTGATGGTTGCACGGTATCCATTTATCTGTTGTCATAGCGTCTGCATGGTCTCACCAATATACTATGCCTAGGGGCATCCTTCTCTGCAGCATATGAGGTAGACAATGTTGGCTGAGCCACATGAGTACTTGCTGTGCACGTGGTGGGTGGTGTTCCCACGTGTGATGGTAGTGTCCATGTCAATGATCTGACATGTCTTGCAGAGGTTGCCATGGCAGGGTTGTGTGCTGTTGTGGTCGATGTTGTCCTGAAGGCTGGATAGTTTGCTGCAAAAAATTATCTGTTTAAGGTTTGGCAGTTGTTTGAAGGCAAGAAGTGGAGGCATAGGGAAGATCTTGGCAAGATGATCATCATCGTCGATGACATGTTGAAGGCTGTGGAGAACATACTGTGGTCTCTCCGCTCTGGGTAAGTACTGGACGATGAAAGGTACCCTATCAGTCATATCCTGTGTCTGTCTTCTGAGGAGTTCGCTGTGGTTTTTCGCTGTGGCACGTCAGAGCTGGCGATCGATGAGTTCAGCATTGTATCCTGTTTGTATCAGGGCGTCCTTCAAAATCTTCAGGTGTCCATCACGTTTCTTCTCATCTGAGCAGATCCTGTGTATGTGCAGGGCTAGTCTGTAGGGCATGGATGTTTTAATATGTTTAGGGTGGAAGATAGAGGTGCAGCATCATGAGGTTATCTGTGGGCTTGTGGTATTGTGAGGTACTGAGGTGTCCCTCCCTGAAGGAGATGCATATGGCCAAGAATGCCAAGAATGAGACTGATTCTGAAGAGTAGTCCATGGAGAGTCTGATGGTGGGATGAAAATTGTTGATATCGCTGTGTAGTCGTTTCAGTTGGACACGTGCATCTCCGTCAAAGACGGACATCTCAGTACCTCACTCTATCGCAAGCCCATGGATAACCTCTCAATACTGCACTTCTCTAGCTTCCATCCTAAACATATTAAAACATCCATACCCTACAGACAAACCCTGCACATACACAGGATCTGCTCAGATGAGGAGGAACGCGACGGACACCTAAAGATTTTGAAGGACGCCCTGACAGGAATGGGATTTAAACCTCAACTCATCGATCACCAATTCCAACGTGCCAGAACGAAAAACTGCAACGACCTCCTCAGAAGACAGACACAGGATACGACTGATAGGGTAGCTTTCATCATCCAGTACTTCCCCAGAGCGGAGAGACCACACCATGTACTTCGCTGCCTTCAACATGTCATCGATGACAATGAGCATCTCACCAAGATCTCCCCCATGCCTCCACTTTTCATCTTCAAACAACTGCCAAACCTTAAACAGACCATGATTTGCAGCAAACATCCCAGCCTTCAGGACAACATCGACCACAACACCACACAACCCTGTCATGGCAACCTCTGCAAGACATGTCAGATCATTGACATGGACACTACCATCACACGTGGGAACACCACCCACCACGTGCACAGCAAGTACTCATGTGGCTCGGCCAGTGGTTGTCTTTCTCATACGCTGCAGGCAAGGATGCCCTGAGGCATGGTATATTGGCAAGACTATGCAGACGTTACAAAAATGGATGAATGGACACCATACAACAATCGCCAGACAGAATGTTCCTTCCCAGTTGGGGAACATGTCAGTGGTCAAGGACATTCAGCTTCTGATCTTGAGGTAAGCGTTCTCTAAGGCAGCCTTTGGTACACAACAACACAGAATTGCCAAGCAGAAACTGCTAGCTAAGTTCCATACCCCATGAAGAGGGCCTCAACCGTGATCTTGGGTTCATGTTGCACTACATGTGACCCCACCACACTGTTCTATATCTGTAAAATCTTCCTTACTGTCCTGTTTTGACACCATCATCTTGATAAATTGATATGATCTCTCTACCTTAATTAGTTTGTACAGTTTAGGTTTACTTATTACTTTGGTTAGACCCTCAGCATGTGACTCTTATACCTATCATGTTATTCAAGTCATTTGGTTTGTCTCCAGCACCACCTTATTTTTAATTTTTTGTATTTATCTCTCTGCCTCATTTAATTAGATTATAGGTTACTTTTGATCACCCGCAGAGACTAATTGACACTGCATTCACACCATTTGTATGATCTTTTGATCTCTCTGCCCTTAATCTCTCTGCCTATAAATTTTGCGTCCGTGTGCCCCTCTCTCACTTCACCTGACAAAGCGGCTGTGCTCCAAAAGCTTGTGATTTCATATGAACCTGTTGGACTATAACCTGGTGTCATGTGACTTCTGACTTTGTCCATCCCAGTCCAACACTGGCACCTCCCCATCAGAGCTGAGATGAGCAGGAATGAAGTGGTATTGGGGTTGGGACAGTTGACATCTCCTGCCCATGGACATTCACAGCAGTGTGGGTCCAGTTCTGACACCCACCTCTCAGCAGCAATGAACAGATGAAGATCTAATGTGAAATGATGGAAAGAGTTCCATTTTAAAAGTAACAATACTCACTGTTCATCACTGGTAAACCTCAGAACAGGACGATTTATGTCTGCTCCATGACAGAAATGTTAATTCACAGGTTCTTTACTAAACCACTTTCTTCTCTTGATAGGTGTTCACATCCCATGGTCCTACTGTCATCATGCCAACTTGGTTCTGCTCTCGAAAATGGTTTGACTACATTGGAAAGTTTGATGAAGGTGGAAAAGTGAGTACAGCTGCCGACACAGAATAAAATGCGTAGAAAGGACCACAGGTTCAGCTATCTATTAGTTTGGATTTTTTTTAAGAAGAATATTCTTTTCACAGAATGTGGGAGTCTCGGGCTTACTGTTACACATTCCTAATTGCTTTTGAGAAGGTGGTGGTGAGCAACGTCTTTGAACCACTGTAGTCAATGTGATGTAGGTACAGCTGCAGTGCTGTCAGGATTTTGACTCAACATCAATGTGGATACGTCGGTAATGGCTCCAAGTTGGGCTAATGTGTAGCTCGGGAGGGGAACTCACAGGGAGAAGTGTTGCCATGCTTCAGCAGCCCTTGTCCGTGTAGATGGGACAAAATGTGAGTATGGGAGGTGTTATTGAAGAAGTCTTAGTAAATGACCGTAGTGTATCTTGTGGTGAGAATGAATGTTAAAAGTGGTAGATGAAGTGCCAGTCAAGTGGGCTGCTTTGCCTTGGATGGTGTCAAGCTTCTTGAGTGTTGTTGGAGCTGCACCTATCCAGGCAAGTAGAGAGTATTGTGTGACATTCTTGATCTGTATCTTGGATGGGTATTGGGGAGTCAAGAGGTGAATCACTTGCTGCAGGTAGATAGAAATAAGTAAAATGTTCCAAGTTCCTTATTGAATTGGATAAAACATTGGTGGCACTGTAACATTAAAGGTGTTCAGTTCAATTGATTGTAATAATTCTTGGGGGTGGTCAACAAAATTAAATCTGTATTATGTCATTGACTTTAAAATTAGGACTTTCAAATTAATCAAACTAGATTTCAATGCACAGTAACGTGTAGGCAGTGGAAATTTGTTTTTTTGCCTCTTGGACCACATTGAAGGAGCTGCCTTGATTGATAGCATTGAGACTGGCTGAGGAATCTCAGGTAAAAGGCAAGCCTCAGAGACTGAGCAGAATAGACCAAACCTGCACCGTCCACTTCCACGGCGCCAGAATTCAATATGTTTGAAGATGCTTTGTGTGGGCACCTCCGCACCATTCCCCCCCTCCTTCTGCCCACACCTCCCCACACCATATCAGTGGTGCTCTTGTTCTCTACTGGCTGGGGGAGACAGTATTGTTTGTGCTTCCACATCAAACCATTTTTTCTAAGGTAATTGTTAGCAGCATCTAGGAACTTGTGACAAACAAGGACTGAATAGAAGGCAAGTGCGAGCTACTAACTCTTAAGAGCTGTAAGCTACATCTATAAGAATGGTTGAGAGGGACTTTGTTCGTGCCTTCTTCCACCAGGACTCAGTCTGATGTGATCTGGCATTATCATGGTGCAGTTAACCCTTTACTCTACATTATCAGACACACCCTGGGGGCTAACTAAACAGTGATGTGAGTGGTGATCTAGAAAATAGCTGTCAGTATTTCATCATCAGCAGCAATGCCTTGTATCTAGCTACTATCTTCAATGTAGTTAAAACATCCCAACATGTTTCACAGGAGCATAATCAGACAGGAATTGATACTGAGCCAGTGCAAGAGACATTAGGGAGGGTAACCCAATCCCTGGTCAGGTAAGTTGATTTGAGCAGTGTCTGGAAGGAAGAATGGTTACTGGAGAAAAATGAAGAGGTTTGGGGAGAGAATTCCAAAATGTAGGATAGATTGCTGATGACATCACAGAATAGAATAGATTCCCAACCGTGCAGAAGCAGGACATTCAGCCCACTGAGTCCACACCGCTCCTCTGAAGAGCATCCCACCCAGACCGACCTCCCTACCCCATCCCTGTAACCCTGCATTTCCCATGGCTAATCCATCTATCCTGCACATCCCTGGACACTACAGGCAATTTAGCATGGCCAAATCAACTAACCTGCCTATCTCTGGACTGTGCATGGAAACCCCGGAGCACCCAGAGGAAATCTACACAGACATGGGGAAAATATGCAAACTCCACATAGACTGAGGCTGGAATTGAGCCCTGGTCCTTGGCACTGTGAGGGCGGCAGTGCTAACCACTGAGCCACCATGCCGCCCAATGGTGGTCAATGGTAGAGTATTAGAAACAGAATGGATGAGAAGCCAGAGTTTCATGAATTTCAGGTACTCAGAAGGTTACTAAGGAACTGGAGAAGAAGGCCAGGCTTTAAATATGAGGATATTTAAATATTAGGTATTGGTGAATGGCCCAGTCTAAGGGTTAAACAAGAGGGGGAAATTCTAAAGCTACATAATCTTTGTAGACTAAATTCTCCCCCATTAAAAAACTCTCATTCAAATTTGAAAGAAGCCAGCCTGTACCTTATCTACAGGACCTATTTTCTGAATGTTTATGTTCAGTTAATGGTTTTACAGTATCACTGAGATTCATTAACGACATACTTCAAAAGGCTTAAAATGCCAAGCATTAAAATAAATTTTGCTACAAAGGAATTTTATTTTAATTAGGACTGATGCTGGCTGATGGGGAGTTACTGGTTCTTTGATGTAAACAGAAAAGTGCAGTAATTGATGCACATGCAGACAACGTGCCAAGGCCGAGAATGAAGATTTACAGACCCATCTCAAAAATGTCAGGACTGCTGAGATACAACACATGCTCTGTAGGAAGAGAGGGAGGGAAAGCTGGCTGTGATATATTATCATTACAGTCCATTCCTGTTGTAATCAAGGCCAGTTTGACCAAAGAACATCCTGGGAATGAAACCCTTCCCCTTCTTCCAATGATATTATTTGATGCAGAGAGATAAATCATTTCTCAACCTGTACTTTAAGTGACTCAAGTCTCAGACACACCTAGCACACAAAGTATTTGCTACGATATACTGGGTGGTTAACAGGTTGGTACCTCAATCACTGAACATTGGAAAGGAATAAAGAAACCGATATTTTTATTCTTGTTTTTCAGTAGCTTGATGAGGCAATTAGAAATTGGTTAATCCTCTCAAATGGAATGTGCTATTATCAGACAGTGTCTGAGCTAAAGAACATTTCTTGAAAATGTTATTAAATCAATGACATGCTACAGCATTATGGTTCTCAAGTTAAGAAATGAAGGAAATACGAGCACCTTATATACAAATCTAATATCCAAAGCTGTTGAATCCCTATATTAAGAGTTTCAAGCCTCCAAAACAGCAGTTAAGTTTGAGGTCTATTCTAGGATAGCAGATCCAAACTGGATTGCTCCTGGCAACCTCTTGTGTCAAACTACAGATTGTTTTTAGCAGAAGCCTAAAGAAATGTCATCAGTCTATTCTTAACCTGCGAGTGACGCTTGGCACAAGGCTCCAGTTCCTCCCTAATGTCCTTGAACAAGCTGTGCCTCTAAGGCCCATCCCCAGCTCTTTGACACTTCATTGTTTCTATCCCTTTAGATTCTGTCCCCACCACAGCACAGAAATGAACCAAACAAAAATCGAACAACATTCTCTGACATGTTCATTCTCTCTCTTCATTCTTTCTGCAAATATAGAGATGGACAAACACACTGTCCTCCTCAAAACACACCCTCCTGCATTGTCCAACTCAGTGTGGAACATCTGCACATGATACTTGACTTACCCATTGTTTATGGACAGAGTTTTAGCAGCAATGTGCTTCCCTCCCAGTTCTGATTAGAAATCGCACAAGGATTCAGATCTGGCTTCTGTCCACTTCCTACTCAACATCCACAAACATGAGATCAGCTTCTACATATATCGTAATGACAACTAACTGCTTGATCTCTTCATAACCTCTATCAATCCCTTTATTGCTCTTATGGTATTAAAATGCTTTTCCACATCTAGTCTTAAATTAGCTGCAATTCTCTACAACTTTTTCTTCGAACAGTGGGTAGAGCAAATGACTATTTACAACATCCAACACAAATTTAACTGAATGTATCTGCTCCTCTGGCGACTATCTCACGTTTCTTTACCTACCATAGTGCATCCATTTATTAAAATGCAAATCAGACATCAAATTTCAGCCATTGTAAATGTGGAGTTAAATATATAAATCACAAAGTTACCCTTTACAATGCCTTGCTTCTACAGAGACTGTGCAATTTATTGAAACACATGAAATGGTGTGAAGTGTAAATATCTTTTAATAGTAGCATAAGCCTTAATTACTGTCAGCAACTCTCAGTCGTTGAAAATTTACTTCTACAAATGTACACTCCCATTGCTTCAGATTTTAATTATTGTTGGAGATTGGAAACAAAACAACAAAAATGAAATATATATTGTTATTACTGGAATTTAGTCTAATCCAATTTAGTCAACTTTTGCTTGCCGTACCTGATTTGGTATTGAATGAAATCTTTTAATTGATGCTTTCTCTTTGGACTCTGCACTGCCCATTATCAAGCCTTCAGTGTGATTAGTGATGAAGACAAACATTTGCTTTCCCTGTTCACAAATAGTTGATGGGCAGGAGCATCCAGTGCAAAACCCCATAGAATATCTACAGACGATTGCAAGTATAATAGCTATTGACATTCATTCACTATTAACCACAAAGTCCAGCCTTTTGGATATCCCTTCAAATCAATTGTAAGAAATGATGCATTTCATGCTCTAGTTATTGGCTTTTACATTTCTAATCTCAACAATTCCAAAATAAGCCATTCGAAATTGTGAATATCCATTCAGGGCAGTTTTGACACTCAGACATCTACACATTTAAAAATATCATGTCTTCACTAAGAAACCCCTGTGGTAGTGTTGAAACATCAATTCAATGATCATAATGCAACATTGAATAACACAACGATGTACGAAGCAGATGTTTGAGCATTAACTGTTAAAAGTCTAAGATTTTGTATGGCTTATTTGCTCAAGGTTCTCATGATGGAAATTCTTACCAATCTATTTCTCTAGGGTGTCCCTGAAGATCTATTGTTCTTTTACGAACATCTTCGAAAGGGAGGGAGTGTATTTCGTGTGAATCACTGTCTGCTTCTCTATCGCTATCACCTGGAGGCTGCAACTCATGCTGTGTTAGAGTAAGGCTTCTTACTCTTTTGGAATCATTTCATGCACAAAATTTATGTCTTTGTAGAGTCGGTGCAGTGTACTTTATCAATGCAAAAGTGTAGAACGACTAAAAAAGAAAGAACTGTGGATGCTGTAAATCAGGAACAAAAAGTTGCTGGAAAAGCTCAGCAGGTCTGGCAGCATCTGTGAAGGAGAAAACAGAGTTAATGTTTCGGTTCTGGTAACCCTTCCTCAGAACTGTAGAACTGCTAATGGTTACCTTATAAAGAAATACAGAGGGATTGGGCCTGTATTCTTTGGAATTTGGTGGGATGAGAAGTGATCTTATTGAATCATGGTGCAATCCTGAGGGGAATTCACAAAGTGGATGCTGAAAGAATGTTTCCCTTGTGGGAGAGACTAGAACGAGGGGACACAGTTCAGAAGTAAGGGCTTGCCCATTTAAGACGGAGATAAGAATTCCTGTTCTCTCGGAGAGTTGTGTGTCTGGGGAAGTCTCTTTCCCAGAGAGCGACAAACGCAGGGTTGAATCATAGAATCATGGAAATCCTGCAGTGTGGAAACAGGCCCTTCAGCCCAACAAGTCCACACCGATCCATCCCACTATAGGCCACCTAAGCTCTGCATCCCAGAACACTATGGGCAATTTAGCATGGCCAATCCACCTAGCCTGCACATCTTTTGGGCTGTGGGAGGAAACCGAAGCACCCGGAGGAAACCCACGCAGACACAGGGAGAATGTGCAGACTCCACACAGACAGTTACTCCGAGGCTGGAATTGAACCCAGGTCCCTCGTGCTGTGAGGCAGCAGTGCTAACCGTATTGTGTGGACAAATGTAGAAAAATTCTTGATTAATAAGGTAGTCAGGGGCAAGCACAACTGCGGAGTCAAGACCAATCAGATCAGCATGATTTGACTGAATGGCAAAGCAGTTTGATGGACCGATGATGGACCTAATTCATGTATCCGGATGTGTTTCTGTCTGTTTGTACATTTGTATGCATGCCATGGAGTCATAGAGATGTAGAGCACAGAGAAAGGCCCTTCAGCCCATTGAGTCTGCACTTATCAAAAACAAGCACCTAACGATTCCAATCCCATTTTCCAGCACTTTGCCAATAGCCTTGTATAACTTGGCATTACAGGTACACGTCGAAATACTTTTAAAATGTTTATGAGGGTTTGTGCCTCTACCACTGTTACAGGTAGTGAGTTCCAGAGTCCCAAACCCTATGGTAATAAAGCTTTACCTCACAACCCACTAAACCTCCTGGGTCCAGTAACCTTAAATCTGTGATCTTTGGTCATTCATCCCATCACCAAGGGGAGAAGTTTCTTCCTGTCTACCCTGACTATGTCCCTCATAATTTTTTACATCTCAATCATGTTCCCCTGCTCCCCCTACTCCAAACATTTGTATAATAGGGCATTTAATAACTCCATGAAAATATCGAGGATTTAGAAACATAGAGTTAAATTTAAATCTACACCTCATTGCTTGATCGCCGTGCCTAGACTGTGGAGTCCCTTTTGATTGTCCTGAGTAAGGCGTGTGGTAATGACAGACTTAAAAGTTGAATTCTAAACTTCACCTTCAGGGAAAGCCAGTGGCAGCAACATCATGGGAAAGATGCTGGTATAGGCATCTCACTACAGATGTCAGAAATCTCTAAACCCATCTTGTTAGACATCACACAGCCCTTTTGGCTGATCTGGTACCAACATACCAAATTTCAGATCACGCAGGTCCACTGAATGAACTTGCTTGTCGCTCACCAAAGATCAAATGTTCAGCTGCTAGAGTGGTGCAACACTGGAATTATGCAAAAGGTCAGGTGTCTAATCTTCAGATAAGATCATTTAGAATATTGCCTGCTATTTCAAATGCAATCAAAGTACTCTGTTTTATCTTTGGAGGTGTTTTTTTGAGTTCCTGATTTCCATTCTCAGGAAGCCGGAGGATTTGCTGGCTTCACCTCTACAAAGGGTGCAACAGGTACAGAGGTTTATGTGGCACTGCCTCTGACACAGCTCAACAGAGAGATGGTACAGAGGTTATAGAGAAGGGAGGCTGTGCAGGATACTCTGTGCTAATTTGCAGCTAGGCTCCACAATGCTTCTTGATAGTGACAGGAGGCTGCCTGAGGGGCCAGACAGTACACCAAGCAACTGGGTGCACATATCCATCAGCTTTCTCCTGTATACATGCCTAGGGAGCTCCTTAGGTGAGGCCTCCTGTCAGAGATCTCATCTGTGACCATGCCCTCCATTGGCAAACATTCTTTATCGATGGCATGACTCCAGCTCTGCAACGCCATGTAGCTCATCACATCCCGATCCCAGCTTGGTACTAGCCTTTGAGGTATGTGCATTGCTAGTGTCGAAGTAAGTGACTCATTCCTCTTCTTCAGTTGCTGAGCTGTTGCTCTGTTTCCTCTTCCTGCCTGTGCTGGGGCAGGGAATGCAACAGGTTGTGAGTGTCTGAAAGCAGGAAAGCAAAATGGAAGATTGTTGTGTGGGAGGCAGTAATGCATGTTGTATTCTAGAAAGCCAGCTGGTGAAGGATAGAACTGGAGCCAATGTTTACACACTGTTATAAGCATTTATTTCCAATATAAGCATATACTTCCTAATCCAACAACCCATAAATTCAGTCTTTATTTGCAGATCCACATGTAAATCCCGGTTAATACACACGACTTGCAGATACTTGAAGATGATTATATCAATAGTCAGTCGGTAGTATAGAGCTTGATATTGCTGAAAAGAAGAGAGGTCATTGAAGCTTTTCATCTTGCCAATATCTTCAGGACAAATGGAAGAATACCCGATTATATCATTTGAAATTTGGCATTCTTGCTTTTGTCCTGATGAGTGAAAGATGAAACACTTCAGTAACATGTCTGTCTCTCCAACAATTGATGTACAATTAACAGTGGGATGAAATGCAGCAGGTGAGAGCTGTCTCACAGATGAGCCATGCAACAGGCTGACATAGTCATACTCACAAAACCATACCTTCCAGGCAATATCCCAGACACCACCATCACCATCCCTGGATACGCCCTGTCCCAAAGGCAGGACAGACCCAGCAGAGGGGGCGGCACATTGGTAAACAGAAGGGAGTTGCTCTGGGAGTCCTCAACATTGACTCCGGACCCCATGAAGACTCATGGCATCAGGTTAAACATGGGCAAGGAAACCTCCTGCTTATTACCACGTACTGTCCTCCCTCAGCTGATGAATCTGTACTCGTCCACGCTGAACAACACTTAGAGGAAGCACTGAGGATGGCAAGGGTACAAAATGTACTCTGGGTGGGGGATTTCAATGTCCACCACCAAGAGTGGCTCGGCGGCAGTACTACTGATCAGGGCTCCTAAAGGACATCACTGCTAGCCTGGATATCCGGCAGGTGGTGAGGAACAAGAGGGAAACGCATATACTACCTCACATTACCAATCTGCCAGCTGCAGACGCATCTGTCCATGACAGTATTGGTAAGAGTGACCCCTGCACAGTCCTTGTGGAGACGAAGTCTCGCCTTCACATTGAGAATAACCTCCATCGTGTTGTGTGGCACTACCACCGTGCTAAATGGGACCGACTTCACACAGATCTAATAACTCAAGACTGGGCATTCGTGAGGTGCTGTGGGCCATCAACAGCAGCAGAATTGTACTCCAGCACAATCTGTAACCTCATGGCCTGACATATCCCCCACTCAACCATTACCATCAAGCCAGGGAATCAACCCTGGTTCACAGGAGAGTGCAGGAGGGCATGCTAGGAGCAGCACCAGACATACCTGGAGATTGGGTGTCAACCTGGTGAAGCCACCAAACAGGACTACTTGCACGCCAAACAGTGAAAGCAGCAAGCGATAGACAGAGCTAAGTGATCCCACAACCAACGGATCAGATCTAAGCTCTGCAGTCCTGCCACATCCAGTTGTGAGTGGTGGTGGACAATTAAACAACTCACCAGAGGACAAGGCTCCACAAATATTCCCATCCTCAATGATGGAAGATTCCAGAAAAGATAAGGATGAAAGCATTTGCAGCAATCTTCAGCCAGAAGTGCCAAGTGGATGATCCATCTCGGCCTCCTCCAGTGGTCCAGCATTAGAGATACCAGTCTTCAGCCAATTCGATTCACTCCACATGATATCAAGAAACAGTTGGAGACACTGGATACTGCAAAGACTACAGGCCCTGACAACATTCCAGCAATAGTACTGAAGACTTGTCCTCCAGAACGTGCCACTCCCCTAGCCAAGCTGTTCCAGTACAGTTACAACACTGGTATCTACCCAACAATGTGGAAAACTGTCCAAGTATGTCCTGTATATAGAAAACAGGACAAATCCAACCTGGCCAATTACTGCTCCATCAGTCTCCTCTCGATCATCAGTAAAATGATGGAAGGTGTCATCAACATTGCTATCAAGCAGCACTTGCTCAGCCGCAATAACCTGCTCAGTGACACCCAGTTTGGGTTCTGCCAGGGCCACTCAGCTCTTGACCTCATTACAGCCTTGGTTCAAACATGGACAAAAGAGCTGAGGTGCAAGTGACAGGCCGTGGCATCAAGGAGCCCTGGCAAAACTGGAATCAATGAGTTTCAGGGGGCAAACTCTCCAGTGGTAGGAGTCATACCTGACACATAGGAAGATGGTCATGGTTGTTGGAGGTCAATCATCTCAGCTCCAGGACATCTCTGCAGGAGCTCCTCAGGATAGTGTCCTTGGCCCAACCATCTTCAGCTGCTTCATCAATGACCTCCCCCCCATCATAAGGTCAGAGGTGGGAATGTAACCACTGCCCCTTGACATTCAATGGTGTTACCATCACTGAATCCCCCACTATCAACATTCTGGGTGTTATCATTGACCAGAAACTCAACTGGACTCACCACATAAACACAGTGGTTACAAGACCAGGCCAGAAGCTAGGAATATTGCATTGAGTAACTTACCTCCTGACTCCTCAAAGCCTGTCCACCATCTACAAGGTACAAGTCAGGAGTGTGATGGAATACTCCCCACTTGTCTGGGTGAGTGCAGCCCCAACAACACTCAAGAAGCTTGACGCCATCCAGGACAAAGCAGCCAGCTTTATTGGCACTACATCCACAAGCATTCACTCTCTCCACCACCGACGCTCAGTAGCAGCAGTGTGTACTATCTACAAGATGCACTGCAGAAATTCACCAAAGATCCTCAGACAGCACCTTCCAAACTCACAACCACTTCCATCTAGAAGGGCAAGGGCAGCAGATATATGGGAACACCACCACCTTCAAGTTCCCCTCCAAGCCACTTACCATCCTGACTTGGAAATACATCACCGTTCCTTCACTGTCGCTGAGTCAAAATCGTGGAATTCCCTCCCTGATGACATTGTGGGTCAATCTACAGCAGGTGGACTGCAGTACCTCAAGAAGGCAGCTCCTTCTCAAGGGCAAATACGGATGAGCAAGAAATACTGGCCAGCCAGCGATGCCCACATCCCACAAAAATGAATAGAAAAATAAAGGTCCATACTCACACCATTTGCAGCATGTGTTTTACATCAGATGGCAGGATCAGTGTGAGGTGGCAGTTGAGAAAGGGCAGGATTTAGGAACATATTATCATCCTCAATGTACTGAGGGATGCTGGCTCAGCTCGGGAATAAAGGACATACCCCTGCTGGGGTGAAACATTTCCTGCATGGGACTGAGGATGGCAGTGTCTTTGGTTCTCAGCTGGGTCTGCTGTGCTCTCTTCTATAGTGTGCCATTAGTTTTCCTTCACGTAGTAGAGAAGATTAGCAATACGTTGGGTGCGTTGCCTCCCTTAGATGAATAGCTGGAGGCAACATTCCCTTTAAGTTGCACCATTCTGACATTCTGTGCCTAATAGTTATCATGCCACCACGGATCGCAGCGTGGACCAGTTCTGATAGTCGCTTCTGCGCACTCGGGGGTCAATGCAAAAGAGAAAGCATTAGAGGGAATGCTGTCTGAAGGTTTGTGAAGTCAGTGAACGGTGTTAGTCTGAGATTGGCAGCATTGGTAGGTGGATGAGGATGAGGTGTACGGTCTTTGGATGTTACATGTGAGCCCTGTGTGCCAGGGGCTGGTGCTGGGTGATGGTTGTTGATGTGGTACATTGAGCAGCATGGGAGGTTGGTGGAGCAGTGGGTACGGGATGGCAATGTGAAGATGCGTTTATTAACCCATAGAGGGTCTTTAGATTTCTTCTGCTTTTGCTGCCAGGCCTTTGAGCTCCAGAGACCAGGAAGTGACCTCCCTCCCCACCAGCTCTCAATCCCTTCTAGGAGCTGCATTATAAGCACCCATTGGCTTCCAAAGAAACAATCGGTCTTTTCTCATTTTACCTCCACCATTAAGGCATCCAAGACCCTGGAGCACTCTCTGCCATAGTGTTCGATTTTCCTTTTTCAGAACTGTAACAATAGTATTCCACAGCTACCTCCTGTTATTCAGTAAGGCTTCCTTTTAAGAGCTGGAGGCTGTCTGCACATTGCTATTAGCACATGCTGCCTAGTTCCCGCAGAGAGAACAGCAGCACAGCAGACACTCAGACCTATGCTACAATCAGGTAAATGTGGTGACAACATCAAATATGTATGCTACTCACCTTCACCAGAACTGGCACAGGCTGGGAACTGGCACAGGCTAGTGGCAGTGCATGGTACCAAAACACAGCACAGCACAAGCTTAAATCAAATGTTTTTCAGAATTCCTTCAGTTAAACCTATCATGTATAACAGTAACATCAAAGTACCCAATTTATTCTAACAGTGACGATTCACAGAATTCTTTCATGACAAATTAAGATATCTTTGCGAGCTCAAGGGATGCACTGGGGATTTCCCTGTTCTTCCTCTACATAGACAAGTTACAGGAAAGATTTATTATTCTTGCTTCAATATGTTCTGACAGCATGTGATGTATCTTCTGGTGACTAACATGAATCTCTTGAGCAATTCAATCTTCATTTGGCTAACACAACAGTTTGACAATCTATATTTATCCTAGGTGGCTTCAAGAAACAAGTATTGAGATTTGTGAAATTAAATATCATTCAGGTAGAGCTGCTTTCTAAGCTTTAAATAACCAGTCAGGAGTGAAGATAGCTCCCTTTGAATGATCAAGTTTTATTGGAATGAGAATGTAAAAGAGAACAGAACATGCAAGACCTGGACTGTGAGGGGTCGAAACAGCAGCCAGTGTAAAAAGTGCCTAAGTTTCCATAAGTCTGGTTGGAGAGCATCTACATAAAAACTCAGCTATATACAATTGTAAGACATTAAAAGTTGCTGGTAAGACCTGCTGTGAGTGGATCTTAGCTGCATAAAAGACACCAATCAGCTCTACAAGTTGCCAATTTACACATAAGGAGTGATGGTACCATGTTGCATGTAAAAATGCGCCACCAAAAATGTATACAATACACATGTGGCGCTGTGGCTCAGTTTTAACATAATTCTGTAATTATATTGCACCCAAGGGAAACAGTTTCTTGTTACCACAGTAGAAAGTTACCAAAACAAAGGAAAGAAATTCTTGGTCCAAATCTTTTGATGTGGGAAAAGACTTCTGACTCAACATTACAAAATCTTATTTTTAAGGAAGCTTTTGAATATGGGAATAAGATGGCGTGGTGACTGGGGAGCTTTGATAGGAGTTCCAGAATGTGACAGAAAATAGAGAGAAAGAATAAATGGCTCGTGCTTAGACTGGCAATGCCACAAGGAACGTGCTTCGGTGCAACCAGTTATGGATAAACGTAATTGATGATTTGTATCTGGGGACCAAACAGATATTTGCTCATGATGCAAATGTGGGTGGGAATGTGACTTGAGAGGAGGATTTACGTTGAGAGAGTGGGCAAGAGCATGAGAGATAGAATATCACGTAGAAAAGGATGAAGTTATCCATTTGGTAGGAAAAACAGAAATGCAGATTAATCTTTAAATGAGCCCTGCTGCCACACAGCGCCAGGACCAGGGTTCAATTCCACCCTCGGGCAACTGTCTGTGTGGAGTTTGCACATTCGCCCCGTTTCTGCGTGGGCTTCCTCCAGGTGCTCCGGTTTCCTCCCACGGTCCAAAGATGTGCAGGCTAGGTGGATTGGCCATGCTAAATTTCCCATAGTGTTCAGGATGTGTAGATTAGGTGGGTTGTAAGGGAATGGGTCTGGGTGCGATGTGTAGATTAGGTGGGTTGTATTGGAATGGGTCTGGGTGGGATGCTCTGAGGGTCAGTGTGGACTTGTTAGGCCAAAGGGCCTGTTTCCACACTGTAGGGATTCTGTGATGGGAGATTGGCAAACGTTCATTGACAAAGGAAACTAGATGTCCTTGTTCAAGAGTGACTGAAACCTGATGTGCAGGTGAAGCAAGCATTTAGAAAGGCAAATACTATGCCTTTATCACAAGAGGATTTGAGTGCAGAAGTAAAAATATCTTGCTGCAATTTTTTAAAGTCTTGGTGAAATCAGGCCTGGAGTGATGTGTACAGTTTTGGTCTCTATACCCAGGGAAGTTTATACTTTCCATAGAGGGATAGCATTGAAAATCATCAGACTCATACCTGGTGTGGGAGGATAGTTGTGAGAAGAGATTGAGGCGATTGGGCAAGTGACATCTTGATATTAAAAGGAGGCCAGGTGATCTTACTGAAGCATACAAAATCCTGATATGGCCCAACAACAGAGATACAAGAAGGATATTTTATCTTTGGGGTCCAGAACCATGGGATACAGTCTCAGAATAAGCAGTGGGCCATTTAGGACTGAGATGAGGAAGAATTCTTCACACAGTGGGTGATGAATATTTTGAATTCTATACCCTAGAGGGTTGTGGAGGTAACGTCATTATCTTCCAACCAGCAGCCATGTCCAGAAAACATGAAGAGAGACCATAAATTATTTTAAAAGTTATACCTTCCTGTTGACATTGTAAACTGAATTTTGCAGGAGTAAAACACAGCCACTATAGATCACATGATGCAAATTAATTGCAAAGATTCCAATCAACCGTTACTAGGAACTCAGAACTCAGACAACATGTTCATGGAACAGCACAGTCTTATGTCCCACCTTCACATTGGGAATAACTATCATGTTGCGTTGCACTACCACCGTGCTAAATGGGACCGACTTCACACAGATCTAATAACTCAAGACTGGGTATTCGTGAGGCGCTGTGGGCCATCAACAGCAGCAGAATTGTACTCCAGCACAATCTGTAACCTCATGGCCCGGCATATTCCCCACTCAACCATTACCATCAAACCAGGGGATCAACCCTGGTTCGATGGAGAGTGCAGGAGGGTATGCCAGGAGCAGCACCAGGCATACCTGAAGATGAAGTATCAACCTGGTGAAGCCACAAACAGGATTACTTGCACACCAAACAGCATAAGCAGCAAGTGATAGATAGAGCTAAGTGATCCCACAACCAACGGATCAGATCTAAGCTCTGCAGTCCTGCTACATCCGGTCGTGAATGGTGGTGGACAATTAAACAACTCACTGGAGGAGGAGGCTCTACAAATATCCCCATCCTCAATGATGGAAGAGACCAGCACATTAGTGCAAAAGATAAGGTTGAAGCTTTTGCTGCAATTGTCAGCCAGAAGTACTGAGTGTATGATCCATCTCGGGCTTCTCCAGTAGTTCCCAGCATTACAGATACCAGTCTTCAGCTAATTCAATTCACTCCACATGATATCAAGAAACAGTTGGAGACATTGGATACTGCAAAGGCAATGGCCCTAAAAGTATTCCAGCAATAGTCCTGAAGACCTGTGCTCCAGAACATGCAGCTCCCCTAGCCATGTCGTTCCAGTACAGTTACAACACTGGTATCTACCCAACAATGTGGAAAATTGCCCACGTATGTCCTGTACATAGAAAACATAACAATTCTAACCCGGCCGATTACCAGCCCATCAGTCTACTGTTTATCATCAGTAAAGTGATGGAAGGTGTCATCAACAGTGCTATCAAGCTGCACATGCTCAGCAATAACCTGCTCAGTGACGCTCAGTTTAGGTTCCGCCAGCTTCACTCAGCTCCTGACCTCATTACGGCCTTGGTTCAAACATGGACAAAAAAGCTGACAGCCAGGCTGCTTTCGACTGAGTGTGGCATCAAGGAGCCCTGGCAAAACTGGAATCCATGGATATCGGGGGCAAACTCTCTGGTGGTCAGAGTCATACCTGACACATCGGAAGAAGGTCATGGTTGTTGGAGGTCAATCATCTCTGCTCCAGGATATCTCTGCAGGAGTTCCTCAGGGTAGTGTCCTGGGCCCAACCATCTTCAGCTGCTTCATCAATGACCTTCCCTCCATCATAAGGTCAGAGGTGGGGATGTTCACCGATGATTGCACAATGTTCGGCACCATTCGCGACTTCTCAGATCTGAAGCAGTCCATGTTCACATGCAACAAGATCTGGACAATATCCAGACTTGCGCTGACAAGTGGCAAGTGACATTCATGCCACACAAATACCAGGCTGTGAACATCACCAATAAGAGACAATCTAACCACCACCCCTTGATTTTCCATGGCATTACTGTCACTGAAACCCCTACAAACAACAATCTGGAGGTTAGCTTTGACCAGAAACTCATCTAGACTCACCACATAAACACAGTGGCTATAGCAGCAGGTCTGATGTGAGGAATTCCGTGGTGAGTAACTCACCTCCTGACTCACCAAAGCCTGCCCACCATCTACAAGGTACAAGTCAGGAGTGTGATACAGTACTCCCCACCTGCCTGGATGGGTGCAGCTCCAATAACACTCAAGAAACTTGACACCATCCATGACAAAGTAGCCCACTTGATTGGCACCACATACATAAGCATTCACTCTCTCCCCCTCGGCGCTCAGTGGCAGCAGTGTGTACTATCTACAAGATGCACTGCAGAAATTCACCAAAGACCCTCAGACAGCACCTTCCAAACCCACAACTACTTCCATCTAGA